CTAACATGAACCAATCTTGCATGCCATAGATCTATTGTCTCATTCTTTTGGGTCTTGTCAACGTAGGCAGACTCTGCAGATACGACGAAAACAGACTCCACTCTTCGTCCTTCTATTGTCGGCTTTCCTATTATCTTAACATCTTAATAGACTTTTACATCTTCTGGCCTAAACAAGACGTAGTTTCCTGATGTTGTTAGTTGTTGCACTCACAACAAGTTCTTCTTTATACCCGATACATGATGTAGTGACACTGTATCAAATTTATTCCTAGGCATGATTATCCTATTGCCGATCTGAGCAATTGACAATTGTGCGTTATTTGCTGTGCGTACCATATGGCTTCCTTTGTACTCTTTCTTGTCTAACAATTTACTCTGATTACCAGTCATATGGTTTGAGCATCCTGAATCAACGATCCAGTCATTCTCATAATTGATGTGGTATCCCATCATCGCCATGAATGCTAGCTCATCTTTTTCTATGGCATGTAGTACCTCTGTATCCCATTCTTCCTCCATCTCCATGTTAGAGGATGACGTATTGTTTTCGATAGATTTTTTCTTGGACCAACAATCTTTAGACATGTGGCCCTTCTTCCCGCGATTATAGCAATTACTTTAAAATCTCTTTCCTTGAGAACTCCTGTTGTCATTCTTCTGAGCTCTCTCAAGTTGTGCAGTTCCTTGATGACTTCTTCTTTTGTCACCATTTTTGTATCCACGTTTGGTAGATGACTTAGTATTGTCCTGATTTTCACTCGTGTAGAGTGCTTCTTCTTCACCCTTTAATGTGATGCCTCCCCTATGTTTAGCCATAGCTTCATGGCTGGCTAACAAATTTTCAAACTCTACAAGGAATGGTTGAGTGCTTCATCCTTGCAGAGCAATAATGAAGCTTCTATATTCTGGTCACAACCTGTGGATAATTATCCTCTTCATTCGATCTTCTCCAATTGAAGACTTCGGTTCTAGTTTAGTAATCTCTCGGCAGATCGTCTTGACTCTATGGAAGTACTGAGCAATCGTCATGTCATGTTGTGAAATTGACAATAGCTCGTTCTTCTTGGAGAACAACATCACGCACATGTCCCATGCTTCTTTCGGTGTCTTGTGATCCCAAATATGTTCTAACATCTCTTCTTCGATTGTGGTCTTCAAGGCAAACATTGCTTTGCCTGCTTTGATTCTTCATTTGTGCAAGGCATCGTTAGAATCCTCTGCTGGCGGCATAGTTTCATTCCCGCCAACAATCTCCCAACGATCTTGTCCATGTAAATAGGACATCATGCATGTTGCCCACATATTATAGTAGTTGTTGTTGAGTTTCTTGATTTCTCCTACGATTTGGAAGTCACCTATCGTGTTGACAATACCTTAGTAATACCAAACAAATCTTTTCGACACAAGATTTGCATAGTCATTGACTACTCACGACACAAAGGGAACTCACTCACTAACTCAAGAAATCGTTTCTAATGTGGAAGATCAGATAGAGCTGCAACCACAGAGCATACTAAGAATTCCAAGAAATAAGAAAACCTACACTAACCTCGCTCTAATACCATTTGTAACAATCCAAATCCACCGCTAGTAGATATTGTCCTCTTTGGGCTTCCCCTTCCGGGCTTCTCCTCAAGGCTTTAAAACGCGTCTGCTAGGGGAAGGTTTCCACACCCTTATAAATGGTGGTTTGTTCTCCTCCTCAACCAATGTGGGACATCACAATCCACTCCCCTTTGGGGCCCAACGTCCTCGCTAGCACTCTTTCCTTCCTCCAATCGATGTGGGACCACCTCCCTTTAGGGTCCAGCATCCTAACTTGCGCTCTTTCGACACAAGACTTGCATTAGCACTACTAATTTCAGACACAAAAGAAACTCACTCACTACTAATTTCAGGAAATCATTTCTAATGTGGAAGATCAGATCGAACTGCAACCACAGAGCATACTAGAATTCTAAGAGATCAGATAACCTATACTAACCTCACTCTGATACCATTTGTAATGACCCAGATCCACCGCTAGCAGATATTGTCCTCTTTGGGCTTCCCCTCAAGGCTTTAAAACGCATCTGCTAGGGGAAGGTTTCCACACCCTTATAAATAGTGGTTTGTTCTCCTCCCCAACCAATGTCGGACATCACAATCCACCCCCGTTGGGGCCCAGCGTCCTTACTGGCACACTGCCTCGTGTCTACCCCCTTCGAGGAACAGCGAGAAGGCTGGCACATCGTCCGGTGTCTGGCTCTAATACCATGTTAGAAATCACGGCTCTCTACAATGGTATGATATTGTCCACTTTGAGCCTAAGCTCTCATGGCTTTGCTTTGGGCTTCCTAAAAGGCCTCATACCAATAGAGATAGTATTCCTCCCTTATAAACTCATGATCTTTCACTAAATTAACCAATGGGTGACTCACTCCCAATAATCCTCAACAATCCTCCCCTCGAACAAAGTACACTATAAGCCTCCCCTAAGGCTTATGGAGCTCTAGAATAGCCTCCCCTAATCGAGGCTCGGCTCCTTTCTCTAGAGTCCTCGAACAAAGTACACCCTTTGTTCGACACTTTAGTCACTTGTGACTACACCTTCAAGGCTCACAATTCTTTGTTCGATATTTGAGAATTCTATTGACATGGTTAAGTTTAGGGCATGGCTCTGATACCAATTGTTGAACACAATTCTTTGTGTGAAACATTCACACTCTTTATTAAGACCAATCGAGAAGAGAATACAATACACTCTTTAGAATACTGAATAACCTAGGTAGGGTGGAGGGTATTTATACTAGAGCCTAAGTAGACCTAACAAATCTAAATCTAAACCTAAAAAATCTGAATCTTCTTTCTAAAATATCTAGATATCTCTCCTAAAATATGTAGATCTCTTTCCTACCATCTGTACTGAAATAAATATACAATGGGCTCGTACAATTATTAGTCTTGACTCTATTGGGCTAGTGATGATATTTCAATAAGTAGTGGACTTGACTATTACACGTTACTTGTGTAAATTTTTTACAATTTTTAGATATGACTTAGGAATAATTTTTAAGATTAGAAAACTAAATGTTAAAAATTTATCAAGTTAAGATTAGAAAATGAAGTGTGGAAAATTAACTTGAGGTCTAGAAATTTAATATCAAACTTTTCACCTATTAATCACAATATTTTAATAATTCTTTTGATTTTAGCATTAGAAAAAAATACAGATAATAATAGAAAAATTAAACATGAAAATAAGATTACTGCTTTAGAAATTTAAGGGGCTCACAAATAAAAATTATTAAAATCTATTGATAATTGAGTAAAAACAATATGAGGAAACACAAAAGAAAAGGAAGTTCAATTGAATCTATTCATGTCCAAGCTCGAGGCTCAAAATTCGAGCCAAAATCAAACCCTCGGTCTTGGTGGACTGCAAACCCAAACCTCAAATCTTTGTCCTAACCAAAGAGGTTTGTAATGGTAAAGATCGAGTTGATTCTATAACTCTATAAAAAATGGTAAATTTTTTCGCAAAATAAAACAAACATTATTTAAAACATAACATTCAATAAAACAAAATAGTATTCATACATGAGAAATTAAAACTAGACAAATAGTTAAAACACAAAATAATGAACAGACACAAAACATTTTAAAACAAAGGTTGAGGACGACGGGTGAGGCTTGTCTATGGCAATTACTCCAGAGTTTGCTCCCGACCTCAACCAGCTTCTTATTACTTGAAAAAAATGGAAAACAAGGAATGAGTACAAGATTCAGTACGTAGCCTACTTGGAGGCTCTTAATCGTGTCCTTGATATGGTAGGGTACCATATTCTTTATTTTCTTGTTCTCGTTCTTGTGGTAAGTACTTTGGCCCTCTAGTTCTTGTTCTTGATTTGGGGTTCTTATCATGATCTATCCAGTGAACCTTGGTTCTTGTCCTTAAAACTTGGTCCTTGATCCATGTTCTAGTTCTTGATCTTTCTCTTGTTCTTGGTACTGCATTCCAAGCGACGTAGTCTAAACCTATGCTAAAGGCTTCATGTGTTCCAAGAAGCATTGTCTAAAAACCTACATCAAAGGCTTCTTACGTTCCATGCGATGTAGTATAATCCTACATCTAGAGCTTGCGCTATTATACAGTCTTTATACATATGCTCAAGGTTTCATGCATTCCAAGCGGCATAGTCTTAATACCTACGATAAAGGCTTCATGCGCCAAGCAGCGTAGTTTAAAATACTGCAGCTAGGGCTTGCTCTATGGTACACCCTGAATACCTATGCCCAACGCTTCAGACATTCCAAGCGGCATAGTCTAAATACCTAAGTTCAAGGCTTCATACATTCCAAGCAGCGTAGTCTAAGTCAAGAATATATCGTACGGTGGGAGATCTTAGGAGTTTTCTTGAGTTTTTATGTTTTAGGACCTTGGTCCCTTATCCTTGAGTGGTATCTAGCATTCTTTCTAAGTGAGGACCTTTGTCCCTTATACTTGCGTGCTACCTTGCATGCTTCCAACCTTGGTACTTGTAGAGCTTGTTTGGTATTGTTCGTAGTTCCCAATCTGGTAAGTTTATAAGGTTCATAATTCCTTTAGGCGTAAGTTGTAACATGCATTCGTAAACATATGAATCCATCATAATAACAAGCATGAGTTGTTTTAGAAGGTCATAGATTCATAATGAACTCCTTAGAGGCGTTCCAAAAGGGTCTTGAGTCTTGAGGTGTTTCCTTTAGGCACTTATTGGGTTCCAACTTGGTTTAGGTTCCAAGCTTGCTCTAATCAACCAGAACTCTCGAACATACCTTCTTGTTATTAGAAATAGACCTTATAAGGAGTAGCAAGTCATTTGGAGCACGCATAGACCTTGAATTATCATAAGTAGTCCTAGGGGTATTTATGTCATTTACCCCTATTTCTTGGTTTTGTTATTTTAATGTTACTTAAACCCAAATAATTTGATCTGGTTCAGAGCCTTAACTCACAATTCTTTGGGTTTTTCTTTCATATATTCTTAATTCATTCTTTGTTTACGGTTCATATGGAAATCAAAGTGATTCCTACAAGTATTTCTTAATAAAAGTCCAAGGTGGCTACTTACCTCATCGTCGACGTTTTAGACTTTCATTCTTCAACTCCCAGCATCCGAATTACTTCAAATTTCCTTCCATAGAATGTCCGTAAGAACTAGTCTAGAACCAGGTTAAAATTAAAAAAAAAAAATCATGGGAAGGTCGAATTTTTTGGGTGACAGGGCCGGTTCAACTAACTGGTCACGTCATCGTCTTCTTCCTCTGTTAAAGAAGAAGACGCATGCATCCTTTGCACCATCGTCTGAAACTCAAGCTCCATAACACCATTCACATTGTTAATCCCCTCAATTTCTTCATGAAACTTAAATATAGTGTTGTAAGGAAGAGCTAGGGATTGATTTCATACCTTTTCGTGGATCGTAGCCTAAGATATTCTCTTCCATAGTTCGTCCAAAAACTCATTTCTCGCCAAAGATAAAACAAGGGTTTTCTTATTGGGTGGCCGATTCAAAGGTTTTTCAAGGCTAGATTTCTTCATGAAACCTCTACCTTATCCTTCCCTCAAGCTAAAGGAATTGTTTTTTAGGAATGACATTGAGTGTGTGTCCTTAATTTTGGAGAATCGTCCTCGATCTGCAAGTTATCCGAAGAACCAGAAAATCAATCTCTTGGGTAGCTTGTTCTACGACGTTTCACCTCTCAATTTCTTCACCAAAGTTACTCAACTTCTTCCTCGTAAACTAAATGAATCCTCAATTTGAAGAAAAAGGGACATTAGATAGGAATTCGACACTTACCCCCAATTTAAGCTTATTTTCTTCAATTGAGCACGTTCCTGAGGTTATTTCTCTTTGTGATCTTCTAGAAAAATATTCATTGGAGGTTTCAGAAATTGATTGGGATCGTCCTTGCTTGATGAATTATCGGGTATCCTCAGATTGGATTTTCAAATTTTCCTTGAAACTATTCAATGGCGGATTGGATTGGAGGAATGGTTTCTAGCCACTTTCAGCACTGTAATCCTTGATAGAACTTTTGGGTAATCTTGTTTATAAAATGTAGGAACAAATTCGAAGGGAAATGATGGATAATTGTTCTCGAATTTGGAAGAAATACGAGAATAGGATACCCAAAATCTAAACACTTATAACTTACGATTGAGAGCTCGACCTTGCTCGATTCTTATTCCAAAACCGTCTTGATTTGGAGATTAAATTTTCAGGATAATTCATTGAAAATATTCTCTCTGATCAATGAGCTATCGACTTCCCGTATTAATTCTGACTGTTGGATCCAATGATCTTTGAACGTTCTAGATGGTGTCCAATTTTAGAGGAGATCCAACGACTGGATTTTTAGATTCTAAGGTTTTTTTTTTTTTTTTTTTTTTTTTTTTGCAAGAGGTCACTCNGGAGGTTCGGATTTCGAGCAGAATGACGTCTCCATAATTTCCTACTTTATTATTATTTTTTCTAAAAAATCTATAATTTTTCTAAAAATTTCTTCAAGTTGGTCATTTTTGTAGTTTTTGAGCATCTTAAAATTCCTTATAGATAAGGAATTAAAAATATGGAAATATCCTTAATAATTAGAAAAACTACATTCTGCATAATAATGCTTGATTCCAAAGCAAACAATAAGATAATACCCAAGCTGGTTAGAGACTTCATTTTTTTAAAATACTCAAATTTGTTTTGTTGATGTTTAATCATTTGAATTTCGGTTCATTCTATAGCAAAATAAAAATAAATACCTGTTTGAACAAGCTGTTAAAGTCGCATAAGAAGCTGATTTAAGGTTGATATCCACTTTAGCTGTTAAAGGCATAAGAAGCTGATTTAAGGTTGCTATCCACTCTAAAAATTAATTCCTATGAATGTTTTAAGGTTGGATATCCATATTTGTTGCATAGTTGTGAATACTAATTCTTTTTCATTTGCTATTTTTGGTGGACATGAAAAAAAACAAAGTTGTGTTAAACATAAACTAGAAAGTTGCATTTTCTATATTTTCTCAATTACCGTTCTAGAGGGGAGATTTAAGGAAGAGTTATAAATAATTGTTTTAACGAGGTTTATCAATTTTTTATAACCACTGAACCAGGAAAAAAAAAATAGATATGATTAACAGGAATGAGAGTGACGAAACAAAATCAAAATTTAGAGGGCATGGTCGAATGTTCAAACATCCAAATTCATCGCTAGTCGATATTGTACGCTTTGTCCACTTTGGCCGTTATGCAATATCGTTTGCTTCATGGTTTTAAATCGTATCTGTAAGGAGAGACTTCCACCCTAAACTTTTCTATTAAACCTAACACCATTACTTCAGATTTAACCCGATATTTAATGCGCAATTACTTTAATGAACCCTTATTATAAATTCCACATTAACTTCGTACCTCATTTATTACCTCAATAATAAACAATTACAAAGAAAAAAATGAAAAACATTATTGAATTAAATGCCCTATACTAACCAATGACCTAATAATTATAAATACAACTGAACCTATACTGACCTATACTTTATTAAATGAAAATACAACTCGACCTAAACTTATTAAATACAAATACATATCAACCTATAGTTTATTAAATGTAAATACAACTCAGACCAGACTGATATATACTATTGTCAACTGCAAATACAATTTAGCCTATACTAATCTATAATATTGTCAAATAAAAATACTACTCAACACATACTATTAAATTATTATGCGAAAGTATCCTATGCATGTGTCACGAACTCGTGGTTGCGAAGCCTCCGTCAGTCTTATAGGGGCGCCTTGCCATTATGTGAAAAATATAGTAGCACGAGGCTTGAGTGTTTTAAGAATACATCAGTAAACGACCCCCTATCGAGGTTATGATGCAAGAACATGCGAATGCAATCACGAGACCTAGCATTACAGTTTATTTTCCAATGGTACTATCCTAACGGGTAGCTTGGATGTGTACCATATACTATACACATGGCCCATACGTGCGAGTATGGACCCACGAGTCGGTTCGCACACTCCTGGCCCCTTTCCTTGGCGGGCGACATGCTCTGGTAGCTCCCTGTGCCGGATACCCATTAGAATCAGTAGCCGTCACGGCAACATTACTTAAAATGCGATGGAAGTTATCCTGCCTTGTGGTGTACGCACCCATACCATCGTGAAGGAATACGGGTATCCCCGAATGCATGAGTACACATGAATGCATGAGGTCCCAATATTTTTCCATTTTCAACATTATTAAATATATCCCCCGCTGGCATTTCATTGATATCATACCATTTCTCATATAAGTTATCATATCGTTCATGCTTATATCGGGATAATATTTCATGTTATTTATCGTTCTTCATGTCATTCGTATCATTCTATACATGCAATTCATAAGACATGACGTCACATTTTCATGCTTTCAACATAACGTTTCACAACGCACAAACTAGCTAAATCTAATTATGCATAAAAATTTACTCCTAATGATTTAAACTATCTATGCCTAATTACGCATAAATAATTTAAATTGGATTCCAAAAATTTAACTTAAGTCTAATTATGCATAAAAACTTACTCCCAATAATTTAAACTAAGCATAGAAACTTAGTCCCAATAATTTAAACTAAGCCCAATACTGCATAGAAACTGACCCCTAATCGTTTAATTAGGCCTAATCATGCATAAATAATTTAAACTCGATTCAAAAAATTTAACTAGCAGAAGGTAGTCATGCATACTAACTTTGAACGCTTTCTAAAAATTGAAACTAGGAGGAAAAAGTCTGAGAGAATCAACCAAAATTTTGGCCTTGAGCCGTTAGAAAGTGTACTCTCTGACTGGCTCGAACCGTTCATTTAGGATGATAAAATGATGTGGGGGACCTCCTTTTTTTATAGTGGAGGCCAACCCGCCACTTCTCAGCTTTAGCAACGTGGCACAAAGTTTCGCTTCTTTTATTTATTTTTTATTTTTCGCTCATACATCATATACGTCAAGAGGAAACTGTCATCCTCGAAAGTGTCTTAATATTGGAATTACTCGGGTACGTCTTCTAAATTCTTCCCTCTGTTCCCATATAGTTTCTTTCGTTTCATAGTCTTGTAAAGATCATTTTCCTTGTACATGCTTTATTTTTTTCTTGAGGAGCATAACAAATAATCTTTAAAGTTATTTTTTAAATAAAGAAATGTTTTGACAGGTTGTTGGTTTTCAAGTTAGAGGGTTGAAATTTACCATCGTTCTTTTTTTTTTTGTTTTTTTTAAGGAAAATTGACCTGAGTCCCTTGCATATATCCGTTTTATGTTATTAACCTTGACATTATATCCGATAAAGCGATCCAGAGTATAGATGACTAAGAAATGCTTAAAAAGAATTGAAACTTACTACCTATATCAACGAGATGCACTTTCCTTTTTGTTGGCTTAATCACAAGAACTTCGAGATTAAATGTGCTTTTCTTTGAGCAATTTTATGTTGGAAGACCTCTTGAGAATTTTCGTAGAAAACATGTAAGTAAGAAAAAGACATGCTGGAAGGACTCATGTTTGTCTGTGGAGATAGTTTTCACTCTTAGAAGCGAGAAGTAAATAATCTTACAATATTGTTAGGGGAATATTAGGGCCATTAACGGCCAAATCCAGAGTTTGAAAGCTTGCACATGGGTCGATACAAGTAGAAACTAGAAACCCAACCAAATTATCAACATACAATGAACTATAAATGCAAATACAACTCAGACCAGACTGATCTATACTATTGTCAACTGCAAATACAATTTAGCCTATACTAATCTATAATATTGTCAAATAAAAATACTACTCAACACATACTATTAAATTATTATGCGAAAGTATCCTATGCATGTGTCACGAACTCGTTGTTGCGAAGCCTCCGTCAGTCTTATAGGGGCGCCTTGCCATTATATGAAAAATATAGTAGCACGAGGCTTGAGTGTTTTAAGTATACATCAGTAAACGACCCCCTATCGAGGTTATGATGCAAGAACATTCGAATGCAATCACGAGATCTAGCATTACAGTCTATTTTCCTATGGTACTATCCTAACGGGTAGGTTGGATGTGTACCATATACTATACACATGGCCCATACGTGCGAGTATGGACCCACGAGTCGGTTCGCACACCCCTGACCCCTTTCCTTGGCGGGCGAGCATGCTCTGGTAGCTCCCTATGCCGGATACCCATTACAAACAGTAGCTGTCATGGAAGCATTACTTAAATTGACGTCGAGAGTCAGCAAAGGCCACTATGCATAGTAGATGCCCCCACCTAGAACCTCCCTCTAGCGAGAGCCTATGCCTCCTCTAGCAGGGACGTGGAAAACTCAAATGCGGTGGTTACAGGTACACTATCTGTCCTTTGTCATTTTTCTTTGACATTATTTGACTCCGGGTCTACGCACTCCTTTATTCCAACTGATTTTGTTAGTCAAGCAAGGATC